TGTCAACCAGCACCCCCAGGTCCTTTTCCGCCAGGCAGCTTTCCAGCCACTCTTCCCCAAGCCTGTAGCACTGCATGGGGTTGTTGTGGCCAAAGTGCAGGACCCGGCACTTGGCCTTGTTGAACCTCATACAGTTGGCCTCGGCCCATCGATCCAGCCTGTCCAGGTCCCTCTGCAAAAACTGAACCCCATGTTGCCTTCCCCTCACTGTAAGTGCAAACTCTACATATCACCAGTGATTTTTCAACCTTCTCAGTGAAGTGACAGCTAGTTTCTTCCTTTTGAAGACAAGCAGCGGGCCAATGTCATTACCCTTACTCTTCATTCTAACAGCCATCTAGGTATTCCGAAAAGACACTTCCTAAGTATCTGCAGTAAACCAAATTTTAACACAAATTTCTAACTTACAAAGCAGACTTTTACTGTGTACCTGAAAAGCCAGAAAATACTAGGTGCTGCAATTATCTTGAAGCTTACAAAAGTTACATACTATGCAACTTGGGCCTACTTAATTCGTTTTTACCATTCACTAATGGAACCATGAAATGAAGCTCAGGCTAGTCCTGTTCTCCTTCCATTGCCGACTGATCTGAACAGCTGTATATGAAGTAGCTGTATCCCCCCCAAAAAAAGATGATGGGGGAAAAAAAAAAGACAGACAGACACAAGGTCAGTGCTGTGCCTATTTTTCTCCCACACTATTTATCCGAATATCTATCCAGCTGTTTTCAGAAACTATGTGAAAACTTTGCAGGTTGTAGAAAGGTAAGACCACACAGTACAATACAGTGTTTTCCTCTGCATTTTGTTGGTCAAAAATAGCTTGTTGAGACTATTAATCTGTTCTACAGCCTGCTACTAGCAATTCATTCTCTTAAGGACTTACAGGAAGCAAGTAGTGGGTAGGGTGAGGTGTTCTGGTTGCTGGAAGTGGCCTACTCCTCGTGTTTTCCCATGACCCAACCAATCCCTCCCCAGCCACACAATAGGTACACGAGTTCAGAACATGGGAAATACCCCAGGGCTGCTGCTAAGCTCTCTCCCACAATTAGAACAGAGTCTCTGTTTCACAGACACACTCCTGAGACAAGCTAGGAAAGAGGGCTGCTGCTCTAAGGCTGCAGCAATCATTCTGGTGGAACAGTCTGCTCCCAGAAATCCTTGTTCCTAGGCTTAATTCAGGAATGGAGTTGGTCTTAGCTCCGTGTTGCTAGTTGCCTGGTGCAACAGCACTTGCTCTGTGGGTGCACAGAAAACCCTACACTCCAGAAGTATCAGACTTCCTACAGATTAACTGTACCAAGAATTTAAAGTCAATACACAAATCACAGTGGAAAGGTTACAGTACACAATCATCCCCTATGCACCTTGTCATGAGCCTTTGCTTTATAATGAATGTAAGTGTTGATTTAACTGAACAATGTAGCATAATATTAAGGATGTACATTTCACCACAAGACACATGGTTTTGACACACAACAAAATGTTGATATTCTGCACAGGATCCCTTCTCTTTAGAAAAGAAAAGCGTTACAGGAGAAATATCACCTTCACACTAGCACTCTGTCTATTGTGCCATGACTAGTTAGAAGCGGATTAACAGGTGGAAGATTTCCCTTTTTTCTGATTCATTGCAGTCTTCAGCATCATTTATCTGAGAAGCTGTGTGGTACGACTATGAATGAGCATACTTCCTAAACTGGCCACCTATCTCTTACCCTTCTGTGCACATTCAGGTATGACACTTTCAGCTCACAAATTAACATGTTTATGAAAACAAGTTTGCATCCATTCTCTTCTCAGATCAAGTTTGACACTACCTTGCAATAGTGAAAGGGGAAGTATTGCTTGCTACTCTGTCCCCAAATAAATGCTTTCTTTGCTCTTCTCCCATTCCTCAATTCATGCTGTCCTTACGCTCTGTGGATCCCTGCAATCTTATGGATACGTGCCGAGACTGTTCACTGAACTCACCCAACAGAATAAGAAAAACCTCAAAAACCCCACAGAAATGTGAATAGCTTTCTGCAAAACAAATTTGGCATAGTACAGAGCTAAGGAATGTTGTGCCTCGGGCATGAAAGAAAAGTAAGAATGCTGATTCCATCAGCAGCTTGCAGTTACATCAGAAGTAGAATGCCTTTACACACAACCTAAAGGGTTAAATTAGTGGCACCATTACCCTTAAAAATACACATTTTCAAAACAGTAATTTTAGCTCAACTACACTAGGGGACATCTAATTCTCATCTTCCCTCTGCAGAAAGTTACTTTTAAGGTTATAATTTCCTAAACAAGTGCAGAATACACATTACTGCAACAGTAAGTCTGAAAAATAAAATTTGTGCAGAACAAAGACAATTTGCTAAGTTTAAAAGCTACTAAACTGTATTACACAGCTAGTAGAAAAACAAAATAGAGATTAAACTGCCAGTATGTAGTAGCTCTAAAAAAAAAATCTAAGTCACAAAAACCAAACTAACCATTCAAACTTTGCAGTAAGTTAAGCTCTGAAAAATTCTCTCTTGTTAAACATCCCCATTGTATCCTATTCTAATTCTTTCTATGGCCAACAAATTTAGGAATTTTGTACAAGGCTAAAGGATCAATTTAACCCATTACAACAGAATCTATTCTGCTTCCTAGTATCACAGTGCCTGCTTCAGAGCCAGAGTCAGATTCAGGGCAAACAGTTGCTGTATTTGTTTATATAACCTGGCAGTTCAGAACTAGAAAACAGATTTACATGGAGTTAAGACGAGCAATTCTCCCAGCTCCCGCCAGTCAGATACAGATGTACCTATTGTTGCTCATGTAAGACAACCTTATTGGCTCCCACTTTTGCACTCAGTCAGAAACGTAACATGTTTGAGCAAACCAAGCACATTTGCCTACCTACCTTGTCTTATGCACATTTGTAATAGAGAAACTTAACGTCTTCATGCAAAAGCTCGCCAAGGGGTCTCATCTGGAAGCATGCCTTGCTCCCTGAGTCCCCGCTCATATTTAACAATGAGTCTGAGTTCCGGAGAAAACAGCAGGCATCAGCAAGGCAGTGAAGGTGCCCACCAGTTACTTGGCAGCCAAGTATTTAGAGAACATAACCAGGAAGTGGCAAACCTAGGATCAATTTCCTTGACAGTCTGGGGGGATTCAAACCCACACCTGACAGCTCCAAGCCTAGCGTTAGTTTGGTTAGGACTCCCCTGTTGTCTTGCTGAAGCTAATCCACTGAATCTCCAAAATAAAGACCATGAAAGGAAGTATGATTCAAAAGGTACACTGGGCTTGTACTGGGTATCACAGTCCCACCTATAAAAACTGTTCATCTAAAGAATAACGTAAAAACCATGAAGAGTCACTGGAGAACTAAACTATAAAAACCTACATCTGAAGGAACGCTGTTCTCACTGAGAAGCACTGTATTGCTGCTGACTCTTGCACTTCTTTCTACACTGTGCTACAGCTTTAACAGAAAGGATGGAAATATGGGATTAAGTCTAAAGTGTGATCTGAGCCAAAGTTTTCCATTTCCTGAGCAAAATTTCTAATAAGTATCTTACTATCAACTTCTCTACCTTTCCCAGCCACATTTTAAAAGAAAGAGCTAGTTACCAAATGAATCGAAGAAGTGGTTTTCGCCTCTGAATCCCTGCCTCACTTAGGCATTAACTCATGCCACAGACAGTCATCAGGCCAGGATAGACTAGGCAAGACTTCAGACACACCCCTCCTGTTTGCTCTTGGCTGGCACAGAGCACTTGTACCTGCCACAGTGAGCATCAACCTATTCACTCGCTTTTCACTTATGGAACTAAAGGCTCCTAATCAGTTTCGCAAATCTCACAATAAGCCCCATTTTGTAAAAACCTGACATTGTCATGCCTAACTCCATAATGGCTCTTTGTTTAGTACTCCGTGTATTCTTTAGAAGGGCAGAATATTCCTATATCACCAGGAAGTGTATAGCTATATATCAAGCTGTCAAGACTTACCTCTGAAGAGATTGTAATCTTCGTTCCTCTCTCTTTCTAGCTAGCCGTTCTTCTTCTTCATCTGATCTACTAGAAAAATAAGGAGGGAAGGAAAGCGTAAGAGGAACAAAAAGCAATTTCAGTGCTAGGCAATCACTGTTTAGTCATTTGATGTATTTTCAAAAAGGATTTATAGTCTGACCTGAGTTAAATTTTACATGGCTGTGAAGAAGTAATTGCTGAGTAAGTATAATTGGCAAATTTGTAGAATTACCCTTTCACGTTTTATAACACCCAAATGCTTCACCCACTGTAGCAATGTGCACTTCAGACTCTACAGGACAATTTAAAGTCTCTTAGGAACAGGCTGCAGCCTGTTCCAGAAGCAGGAGTCCTACTTGCCATTTTCCCCATGTATCACACCCCATTTTAGAGTAAGCATACTGCGTGTGCATAGTTACGTCCATTGTTGCCCCCTGGAAGATTGATGGTTCATAAGCCTTTGATGCCAGAACAATTTATCTTTCCAACAACCTTTACTATCCAATCTCAAGTTGCCCCCAGGAAAGCAGTCTGCATGAACTGTCTTGGCAGCTGCCTTTCCTGTTCTGGAATGAGCAAGGATTTACCTGAGTGCATCAGCTGTGTGATTCTGGGAAATGCTGAGCCTACACAGTACATCCGAGCTGTGCATGTGCAGATACACTCTACTGAATACATGCACTTAAGCTTTGTGACCTGCCTTGGAGAAAGCTCAGCTTCACTTCACCACTAGATACACCATATAAGAATTGTAGAACTCTAAAGCAAACACCAAACAATATTTATTTGCCTGTTATTTTTTTCTGACAGAACTAATGACAATACTTCAGGATTAGTGAATGGACACCTGCCATGCTTTTCCAGGTGCTAATAATTTTTCAAAACTGAATGCACTATCTGAAGATGTTTGATATGAATATTTACAATATTAACACACCTGCTAATACAGAAATGGATAGTTATAGCACCACAAATCTGCAGCAACCAACATTAAGCAAGTTAAGCAACCAACCAAGTTAAGCAAGAGTGACATCCAGTGGTTAATTATGGCATGTCAAATTTTTTAACATACGAAATTCACAGATACCAGAATTAGAAATCTGAACTCAATTTTTCCATCTGCTCAGTCCCTATGTGTCTTTGAACATCTTAGTCATTTAAATGCAATCCGGTAATTCAGAATCCATGTAATGTTTCACATACAAATTTTCTAGTTCCTCCTTTTAAGTTTCCACATAAAGAGTTAGAAAAGTCTTGGGGGAGTTTAGCAGCAGGAAACACATGCAACAGGTCACATTTATTGGAAAACTATGTCAGAAACTTTTGTAAATCTAATTGATTCCACATATTAGCATGTCCAGGAAGACTAGAAGCTCCCACGCTTGAGCATCTTTCTGGAAAACTACTTTACTGGAGACCCCAGTGTCTTATAACTATGTAAGTCTCACTTCACACTGCTGTTGCAAAATACAAACCCACCAAATCAATAAAATGCTGGTATAGGATTCAGAAAATATATTTCTTCCCTATAATTAAATGAAGCATTAAATATCAAACTGTCTAGAAATACAAAGAAGGAATTGAGTTTTTCTTCAAAATTCAGAAATTCTGAAATTATAAAAGTTAAAAAGTGGTTGTTAAATTGAAGAAGTTCAAGAGAGTCTCTTTAGTATAGTTTCATGAAAAGTTGTATCTCAAGTACATGGAACCAGACACAAAGTCCAAACATAGGATAAAGATAATGAACTGAAACAATGCACCAATAGGCCTAGAATTCCTGTGGTAGGGATGGACTCAGGTGAGCCACCTACATTACTGATGGGGGGATTAATGCACCTTTTCCTTGAACACAGAGAATAAGTGCTGGCTTCTTAAACACTGAAAACCCACAGCTTAAAAATTCCCAGAAGGAATACTGATGCTCCTGCAAAACAAGGTTACACCTGAGATCTGAGACGATACATATAAGAAGTCAATAAAACAGATCTAATACTACATTTCTACAAATTTTCCTTCTTTCAATTCATTAAAAAAAAGTTTCTTTTGTGGAAAAGGAGTCCCCAAACTGAGGAAGAAGAAAGCAAAAGAATT